CATTCTATTTCACATTGTCTTGCTTTCACAAAAGTTGCTCTCATCCAAGCACCAGTGGACTGCAGTTTCGATTTCGCATCAACTGGTCTTATCAACAACCCGAGCGGGGTCGAACTATGAAATGGCAACGTGTGATCATGCAGTCCAGCCTGGATTAAAACCACTTTTGGGAAAGCAAGGCTATGTGAAATTGAATGGAAGCGTCAGCTGGACTCATATGATTGTGGGAAAATTGTTCTTCTACCAGTCCTTCATTATCTTTAACGAATTACGGTGAATACATGTCATACTACTGATATACTGCTAGCCACAAAAACAATACTTAATTCGAAAAATAGAGTATATACAGTAAAAGATGACGGTGACAAAAATAGAAATATGAAATGTATTTACCCTTTTTCGTTTAAAGTGATGAAGGACTGGTAGTAGAAATTCAATGGAAGCGTCAGCTCAACTCACATCATTGTGGGGAAATTCTTCTACCAGTCCTTCATCACCTTAAACGAATTACGGTGAATATACCCCTTATAAGTAGTCTCGACACCCCCGCCAAAACACAAAGGCAAGACAGATGACCGGCTACACTCCTACCTACTTCTTGTGGTCTTAATTTGTCCACCTAATCAGACATTTCATAATTTGCTCGGTCATGCGAGGATTTATGCGTACAAATCTACATTCACAGCAATCCTCATTCATCTGGCAATGAGGCCAATTTGCAAATAAATCCCTGTCAACCACCGCTTCAAGCGAAATCGAAGTTGTATGAAGAAAAAGTGGCTTTCGAAGGTCGCTATTGAGACATTTTGGAGAAAAAGTTGGTTGGAAGGAATTTCTGATTTGGTCTCATCCGAAACCAAAGGTTTAAATTGGGCATTTGTGCGGCCTTGTTGAGTTGGTAAATGAGCAGTCGGTAGAGAACAGTGATTTGCTTGTAACTGTCAGCATACCAATCTTGCGACAAACCGGGCTAGAAGAGTTGTATAGCTAACGCCATATCAGCACTCGGAGATCTTAACTGGCCTAAATTTGGACAAAGATTCAGCCTTTATAGTAGTTAATTCAGTTGTAAATATTACCTATTTTATTTTCAATTACAGATTCAACTCGAAAATGCATAGTGTAATTCATAATTCGCAAACTATCACTTGGCTGCATAGACGACTGCTTGGCTGTTTAGCAACACAGTAAAGACAGAATAGATGAATTTCTCGCCATAATGAATACAGTAAATGGAATCACCAAGTTTGCTATCGAGTTATAAAAGGAAGAAAGGTTACCTCTCCCGTATTTTTTGTAAATAAAGAAGATGCTAAATTGGATAGAGACACGAAGGCTTCAGTCTTAATTTTTCTGTCAATCATGCATATCAGATGAAAATAGGTATTATGAAATTGATGTTAATAAGGTGTCTGTGTATCGACAACAGAAGCTAAACATACTGACAAATATTTGAGACTGAATAATTGGAAAATAGGCTTGATTGACAATTGCTTGATAGTTGAGGGCTTGGACAGCAAGCCTTCAGCGAAAGTAACTATTGACTTGATACAGAAATGTTGCTGACGACGAAAAGTGGCGGGACGCAGAGACTGAAAAAACGGGTCATCTTGGGGCGGCCTGCATAAAAAAGTTGACCCCTACCACAAATGCAAACCCACAAGTCAATGTCTGCGCTTTGGTGCTTCAATAGGCCCTCTTTAATCACGAAGCGGTACAAGGCACCGTTGCCTCGGACAGCAACTGTCCACATGTCGCCCAATCGACACGATATCCTCAACTCACTCTGGAGCTCGAGAGTTGGCTCTAAACCACTTTCGACGCCAGCCCCACCCCCAACCCAGTGCATGTGGGAAACAATGCAACCAGAAGTGGTCCGATCCCATTTTCGAAACTTGTTCATGTTGCCGAGTAGTAGGTTGCTGAGCTTATTTCCATTTCGAATGAAAGTCTTGCGTGAAGATATTCGAAGGTCGGTTCTACCAGATTCATGCTGACGCTGTTTCCGAGGCAATCTGCTTCGATTCCGGTGAAAAGGTGCTAAGCTTTTGTCCGTCATGTGATGAACATCATCAGAGCATCGAGGGTATCATCGTCACAAGTCACCGTCCAATCCCTAAAAAGTGGTATCTATACTCTACATCTGATTTAGTAAAGTTGCGGTCATATGTCAACTTTGATGCCTGTGAGTGTGTCTGTGTGTGTCTGTGTGTGTGTGTATGTTCCTGTTTGTGTTCGCTTATGCATGAAGCCCGAAGTGATGTCTCAAAGTAATTAGGGCAGCAAAAAGTAAAGTCTGTTCTCGGCCATCAAGTTTTGATGACCACCATCTCTCATTTTCTACAAACATGTCATAACCATCACTCCGATTGTGCAAGGTCGGACACTCGTCTGGTTTTGTTGAAGAGCCTATTTTTTGTTATTGGTCTCAATGCGAGAGAGAAAGAGTGAGTTGAAAGTACAAAGAACCAAGACAAGAAAAGACTAATTGCGTCTTCTCAACTGCCTCTCTATCCTTCAGTCTATTAATTAAGCACAAATAATGTTTACTTATCTTCTTGCTGGTATTCCTTACATTCAATGTATTTCCTATTCTGTTTATTTCAATGGCCTCTCTAATTTCCCGTTCAGCCACAAACATTTCATAATCAGCAAAATGACAAGTTTGAGACCATTCAATCTTGTATCCCATTTCTGGCCTGTGCTCAGCCATGCTTTGTCGAATGGGACGACAAGTATCTCCAACAGAAAAGCGACCACCTGAACACATTATTTTGTAGCAACCCGATCTGGAGAATGGGTCAACTTTCTCTCTAAAAGTGGGCATGACT